TGATAAGATATGGCGTAGATTGAAAATATATATTTACATGCCATGTTGAATTAACCTGAGGTTGGGGTAGAAGAGAGACATTGAAACGTAGAAGCGAAAAACAAAAAGAGCGAACGGCGTCGAAAATAGACACACGTCGTATTGTCTATTTTCTGTTCCTTCTACGTTTTGATGTTTCTCTTGTACCCCAGTCTCTGGTTAATTTGACATGGTTCATATTCACCAGTTCACCTACACAATAACTATATTTTCTTTCATATTTATATGATTTGATATTCAATTCATATGAGTTCATATGAGGTGGCCCTGTGAAGGAACGCATTTGATAGAAAAATGTATACTTTATTTATTCCTACAACGAAGATTCTGCGTTTTCTGTTCTTTTCCTTGGGAAATTTGGAGGGTGTGCTTTTGGATATTTTTTTCCCTAACAATTTGACGTTTATCTGAGTTTTTTTTAAATTATACTCCAAATTCCTTAAAATTAGCAATTGTATTGTGTTCTTACTTCAAGAAAATAAACTCCTTTATCATGACTTTATACGGACGGAATGTTCACGAGCTAAAAGGCAAACCTCTTTTGTCAGTAGTTCTGAATTTTAAAGGAAACTGCAGTACCATCTCCTTAGGACCACTGACCCTGTGCTTTAATGAAGATTATTTCGAAAACCTCGTCTTTTTGTTTTTAAATGGTCGTTCTGACCTCGGAATTCTGCGTCTTTCGTACAAATTCGAATTGATGAAAACCTTTACTGGCGAGTGTCTTTCGGTTTCTTTTTCTGATTTATCTCAAAACTCGTAACCGTACTTATAATTTATCAATGAGTCGTGTATGATACCTAACAAGGGATTCGAGAGAATCTACGGTAGCAGATGAAGGAGGACCCATGTAGGCCCACGTGTGCAAAAAGTGGGCTTGAGCGGCCCCTGCAATACCCCTGTGGGTCCCACCTCAGTTATGCGAGGCGTAAGTAAGCATAGTTTTGTGCTAATCGAGGGCACTCCCTTTGGGGGTGTCCGACGCAATACCTCCGCGGGTCCTGCTTCGGTCAAGATGAAACATGGCTTGGGTAAGCTTATCACTGCGCGAATCGCAGCCGAAACTGACCGGGAGCAATTGCGTCTTACTTTAGCCGATTACTTTCATACCATGTTGCACTTCGAACCGCTAGACAACGATAGCTGTCTTGCCTGCCAATTCAAGTACACATAGCAGTTGTATGCAAATAATACTTAAAAATACACTTCGCATTCATCTGGTAAACATTCCCTACTGAAAAGACCCGTACAAATTTTCGCCATCTGGATTATGGAACTGAAAATCTAGTTGGATTCCGTCTGGATTTCTGGTTTTCGGAAATAATTCCTTTGTCTGCAAACTGAATTTCAAATTTCCAGAAACAATTCCAGTTAGATTTCCAGTTTCATAATCCATGCTGTGAAAGGTTATACTGGTGTTTTTCGTTAAGGATGCCACTCTTTTGCCCAATCATTGTAAAAAAATAGTAATGCATCTATACGAATCGAGTGGGTAGGATGGCTAGGGTAGAGTGTCGCGGAGGTGTGGCGTTGGAGTTTGTGCCTTGTACTGGTGACAGGAATGTGCCTGTAACAGTGTTTTGTTCGTTGGTTGGTGTTCGTTCTATGTATGAGTTGGTGTATAAATGGTTGTCTCAGGAAGTCTACAATAAAAAAAAATTAGCGCCATCTAGCGGTTACTACTACCCTTTCTAAGTGGCGCATGCTGCCGCCTGATTCAAGAAGCTAGGCGTTGAGCAGACATGTATGTACTGATTTAAAAACAGCTGGCCTGTGGGCCACTACTATTCCTACCTCTCAGCCGGATAACAATCGTAATTACTGTACCACTCAGCCACCTAAATGCTCGTTCTGTGTCAAGGAGCCGCGAAATGCAGGCATACACACACACGAATGGATAACCACGTCGGTAGAGGTAGGCACAAACGAAGAGATAAAAATAAACAAATAGCGGTAGCGTGGGTGCGAGCTGAACGCCTCTGGTCGGTATCAAAGAAAGGTGCCCAGCGATTTATCTCCGCATACGATAAGCATACGTTTGTTCAATAAAAGCAGCATATATATTCCTCGCGTAACAATTTTTTTTCGAGCGTTCTCTGCCGGCGGTAAAAATACAGTAAATCTGGCGAGATTCCGTCGGGCGCAATCGCAGCGATTCCGGCTTGCACACTGCCGTCTTTACAGGATGTAGGCAAGGTACCGGTGTTTGGGGACGGTTGTTTGGAGTGTTTCATGACATTTGGAAGACGTCAAATAGATGTAAGCGCTCTATTCTATTCCTCGGCCAAAAAGCCGTCCTGTTCGCTAGGCCTTATCGGGGAATTCGAGCATCGCTTACCGGCGGCCATGTTGCTTTAGGAGGTAGCCAAATTTTACTGCCTGTTTTTTCTACTAGGTATGGAGTCCTCCTTTTTATCCTAGGGGTAGTTATATTTGTGACAACGTTTCACCACCCCAAAAGTAGTAACATAGGCTTCCTTTTTTCTTAGAGTGTAATGGACCTTAAATAATTTTGTTACTTGTAACAGATTGAGTAGAATCTGTTATGGTCATGGGACTATTTATTAATTTTTGGCTTGCTTCCGAGGCCGCGAAGCTATTATTTGTGTCACTAGCTGGGCGCAGTGTCCCGGAAGTCATGTGCGAGAAGAACGATAGTGAAACGACGTCTATGACATACGAAACACGATCCGGGTCAGGAGGGGGCAGTTCCTCCCTCCTCTAATACTGCCTGGGTTACGCTTTTACCTCTGTACTTTTGGCAACACTGTGGGCAACTAGTGATATAGTGTAAAGGCTCCGGTGCATCGCTGCATTACCATATTTATCGTAAATAGTTTAAAAGCTCAATCTTGTGTCCTTCTAAAGCGTACGGGTAGGTTCAGCTTATTGAAGTTTGGGCTCATTAAAACTCTGAAGTCATATTCGCAATCAGTTGCATAGCTCGCTTAGATATCTGAGCGATAAAGCAAAAGAATACTATTGCTGTTGTTGAAGAGATAATGGTCATGACATTTATTAAAAAAGAAGGAGACTAGAATAAACCAAAAATTCAATATTTTTACAACCCTTATGCGCAAATATTTAACTAATAAAAATAATTCGCAAAATGTTGATATAATCTGATTCTTTGATTGCTGTGTCACGTGTATGAAAGTATAAAATAATGTAAATGTATAAAACAATCAATACTCTCTTCCCTTTTATTATCCAACAAACATTTATTTCCAACGTTAAAATGACAATTAGCCGATGTAATAGAGTAAACGTTATGGGCTTCTTTCAATCTACTAGAGGTATTTCTCCAAAATGAAATGTTGATCATCATCTAAGCTGAAGAAGCGACGCAATATTTCACAAACCTTGGTTTACGCTTTGCTTGTTTTTCAAAATTTTAATGTGAACAGCTGAGTTTTACGAAACACGAAGGTAAAGAAGTGAGCAAGGTCACCGCTGTCCTTGTCCACTGCTTTACGTTCGTGTTTTGTAAAAATTTCAGACAACCATATTAACTAGTATGGGAACTAGCTCTAGAAAATCCCGTAACAGTTTGGACTCCCTTTGGGCCAGATGAATAATTTGAGCTAATTTTAAAGGAAGCACTTCATTGAAACTTCTGTTAAGACCGTTGCAATCAGTACAGGGCCGTTTGCATCTGAAGTACATCTCCAAATACGCTAAAAACCAAATAGGTGATAAGAATCCTCGTTTACTCGTGCACCTTTTCACGTAACACCTCGTTACGTCAAATGTATTAGTTCTTACTTGGACAGTAGAAAGCTCTTATGTACAATCAAGCGACAAATGAACTGCAGTTAACTTAACCGCACTTCTTAAGCGAGTATCAACTTGCAAATCAAGCCTCGCGTGCTATGTGCCGTTCACTTATTTTGGAGTTTTTGGCGTTTTTTTCGGTGTCTTCTTAATTCGAATGCAGTCAAGAGCACCCGATGAAGGAATCTGTTACTTGAATACCGACATCATTATATGGTTGAAAAGATTGCCACAAAATGCACCGAGCCGATGCCTTAAAGGGGCCCAGCAAGCACTTTTTTACTGGTTTTTAATTTGCACCAAACCGGAGCGCACTGACCGTAGTAACGTAATGAAACTTTTCTTTTCTCGAATTTCACTTTATTTTAAAAGTTAGAGGCAAATTAAAATTACAAAAACAAGCAAAAAATAACCTCCCTCATGACGTCCTTGGGTGCTTGAGTGGCCGTGAACTAGAGGAGGGATAGTCAGCTTAGCGAGCGCTCACAGCTGCCGCACTGCGTGTCCACGGCGCGAGAGGGCGCCACTAAAGCGTGTTCTGGATAAGCTGTACGCAGCGGGCAGCCACAGCGGCTCTCATTGCATTTGCTGCGCGATTAAACATTAATTCGGCATGACACTTCATTGGCCACAAACGACAGCAAACACGGGGTAAAAACCAGTTCAGAATGGGAGCCACTTCACGCTGCCGTACCGCGAAATGGCCAGAACGCAAGACAAAGCTACTCGCTGAAGGCCTTCGGAACGCTCGGAGCCGGTCGGATCCTCCAGTCCGTAAACGACCGCAGCGCCGCCGCGTACATCCGGGATCTTTCCGTGTCGGCGCCTGATCCCACTACTCTTTTCTAGTATGCGCCGCCTTTTCCATCGCTTGGTGGCGGGTATGTCGACGGGTCATTTTTTGTTTCCGTACTTTATAAACTGCATTTGTTTCTTGTCTAATCTAAAATACTGAACAAAAACTACTTCTATAAATAATTGAAACGGTTCGCGCCACTTATGTTTTGTATTTCGACTAAAAAGAAGCTTCTAGCGGCTTTGACCAGTAGTAAGCCCAGGATCAAAGACGTCACATTTCGCGCGCTTTCGGTACCGCGGGTCGGCCCCGTCGGTGGAGGAGGTTTCCGCGTCGCCCGGTGAAAATATGATGCACTGATATTTAGTTACTCTCTCCGTGCCCGCTGGCTTGCCCGGACCCCAAGAGACGTGGAAAAAGCGAAAAAGGTAGACGCTTAAATATGATTGCAGGGCCCCTTTAAAGGCGACAATTCTGCAATCAAATATTCACGGGTTTCGCAGTTCTAACTTCAACTTAACCCCATCTTTCGGGTACGCAGTAGCGTTCGGAACGACCACTTTTAATGGGTCCTGCGTCTCCTCACACTGTACCACTCTGAAGCTACGCAGGACCTTGCAGACAGTTGCTTTCAGCTCGAGCATCGCAAAGCGCTTGCCGATGCACGCGCGAGGACCGAGTCCGAAGGGAAGGTAGGCCCCCACATGGGGCTTCCCTTTGTCCTCGTTGAATCTCTCAGGGTCGAATTTAAGGGGGTCCGGCCAATGTTCGGCGCTGTGGTGAAGGTGCCACACCGGAAGAGTCACGTTGGCACCGGCCGGGATGAACTGACCCATCACCGTGATGTCTTGCTGGCAGTTCCGAGATACGAAGGTCACAATCACAGGGTACAAGCGCAAGCTCTCGCTGATCACCATTTCCAGGCGCTTGAGCCTGTGGATTTCGTCGTAGCCCAGTTCTTTTTTGTCAGGGAACGCTTCCGTTATCTCGCGGAGAATGTTGTCTTGTTCTTCGGGGTACTTGGCCAGGATGTGCATTATATACGCCAGTGCAACGGCGGTTGTGTCGAAGCCACCTAGCAGAAATATGAAGCAGTTTGCAATGAGCAGACGATCTTCGATCAACGGCTCATACTCGTCATGGTCGTCAGCACTGCTGCCTTTTTCGGTTTGAGCATCTAGCATCAGTTGAAGCATATCCGGCACATCTGGCGATATTCCACTCCGTCGTAGATGGACTACTTTGTTGAGGTTCTGAGTGATATTGTCTAGAGTTCTTGCCAATTTGGTGAACGGATGCAACCATTCGATCAGCTTGTTCAGAGATGGGAACCAGAACGCTGCCCTTGTCACAAAATTATCTGAACTGAGGAATATGTTCCGAACCTCACGGAGTAAGGGCTCATGGGGATTTCTTTGGGAGTCCACCTGTGGGATTGTAAAGAATAGAATATTATTAATTGCTCGAACATAAAATATCTTGCATTCTAATCAAAGGATGATATCACGCACGCAATAGCACTTAGTCTACTGCAACCCGCTTACTTGTATAAAGATTTGTCTACACTGAGAAAGAAAGAGAAAGAAGGAGAGAGAAAGTAAAATAAGGTTGTGGAGGTATCGACACCATATGATATGCATTAAAGCTCGTAAGGCATTACGACTCCGTTTTTGTTTTTCTTACTACTGAAGAAACACACGCCTGCATCTTGAGAAATGGTCGAATGAAGAAATACTGATAATAATATTAAAAATATTATTTATTTATATGACAACAAGAACATATCTACGTCACGCGCATGGTTATGAAGGTCATTTAGTGTTTACGACCCGACTGAACACAGTTAAAGTGGCAGCAAGAGGCACTACGCTTGTACCAAGAAAAAAAAATACGAGAAAAAAGAAAAAAGAAGCTGAAAGTGCGAATAATATTTTGAGGCAACCTCGTTTGTTGGAGGCTTCCAATATACAGGGCGCATGTTTTATTTTGCATATTTTAACGAATTGAGTGGCAGCTACCCGCATATTGTCTTCATTTCTTGTGTAGCGACCTCGGCGGACATTACGATAGGAGACAGAATTACCGACACAGTGAGTAGACTAACTAAATTTTGTTTATGACCTTTTTAATTAATTAGCAGATGGGCTATGTTGCAATTTCGGCTTTCAAGACAGTCATTATCAGGAGCTTGATCAATTTAAACAATTTGTGGAATAGCGACGGTTTCTGAGATATTCATCGACCAGTTACCGTGTCTGTTGTCGTCCGATTCCAAAACTGGACGCATAAAGTACGCTATAATTCATTTCACCGTAACTTTGTACAACGAAATCTACGGCCCCCTCAAGCAAACGAGAGTGATTGAGGAAGCACATGAGAGGGCCCTTCCCAAATGTACAGGTTTGGGAGCTTAGCGCAGGCGGAGAGGAGGGGCAGGAGGAACCCCTCTTACCCGGGCCCTCTTTTGTTTGTCTAGAATAATAATAATAAGCCTACAATGCACTGCGACGGGCGCACAGCAGGAAATAAAAGTATAGAAAAAAAAACAATAACAAAAGTCACCTTAACAAGTTCAGCCGATATCAAATATAACAACAGTAAATGCAGCCAATCATCATAAGCATCCGTAAAAAAACAATGAACGAATTTCTCTAAATGACAGTTTGTTCAAATCGAAATGTTTAGATTTATAAATATTTAGTAAATTAGGATATTGCATCGTAGAGTCTGTTTGCCAGAAGCAAACATTTGAAAAAACTGGAGACGACGTACAAAGAAGGGGGCATACATAAAACATCCCAAATACAGCTATTAAACTTTATTGACAGAACCGTTTATATACCATCTCTCACACACACGTCTCCCGGAATTTCCACACATCTTTCTGACCTTCAACCACGGTAGAGATCTATTTTTGTACAAAACAATGGTACAAGCAACACCTCAAAACAAAGCGACCTCCGCAAAGAGCACCCTCCCAGGTCCCACCAGTGCCGCCTGATAAAGCAAACAACAAACCTATCACCTAAAGCTAACAAAAAAACTCTTTCAAGAACAAAAACCTTCGGGTTGCTCCATCTAGTGTTATCGACAGTTGACTGATACAATTTCCTACGGACGCAATTCTGATTGTCCCCTTCAAGTTATTTTTGCACGATCTTTTTCTTTGCTTAACTCAAATTTTTTCCCCCAATCAGGCAAATCATTATTGCATTGGCATCTTTAGAGATCTGAATGATATCCCAATAACCTGTGGGTTTTCGAACGTAGGGCAGACGAAAAGATACCTATATAACGGACTTCTAGAGCACATGGGGATGATCAAGAACAGATCTCCGAATTTTGAGATCGCTAAACATGTGCAGGAATGCAATATCGTTTTCCTGATCGGCGGAAAATTCTGGTGTTAAGCAAAGCAAAAGATTGTGCAAAAAGTGTCTTGAAGGAGGCAATCAGAATTGCGTTCGTAGGAAATTCCATCAGTTAACCGTCGATAGGACTAGATGGAGCGACCGGAAAGTTTTTGTTGTTGCAACAGTTTTTTTTTTTTTTTAATTTGTTGGTGACAGGTTTGTTGTTTGCTTTATCAGGCGGCAGGGTGGGACCTGTGAACGGATTCATGAGGGTGCGCTTTGAGGAGGTTGCTTTGCTTTGATGTGTTGCGCGTACCATTGTTTCGTACAGGAGGAGGTCTCTACCACGGTTGAAGGTCACAAAGACGTGTGAAAATTCCAAAAGGCGTGTGTTGCATGGGGCATACGTTTGTGAATTGAGGTCACGACGCGTTGTACCGCGGTGGAAGGTCGCAAAGACGTGTGCAAACTCCTGGAGACGTGAGTGTGTGTGACGGTATATAAGCAGTTGTGTCAATAAAGGTTAGGACCTGTGTTTGATACGTTTTGTGTTTGTCCCCTTCTTTGCCCGTCATCTCCATTGTTAGTACGTGTTGCATCAAACAGATCGCCTGTTTACTTACTCTTTCTTCAAGTTTGCCATGGTTCGTTTTTGCGTTACCACAGCCAAACACCTGGTGCTATGTGTAGGACACACACTAATATTTGTTTAGATACGATCAAGGGCTATTAGAAAGTTCGTATTCCTAGTGACCTCTTTCTTTAGGTTAGTACCATGTCTGTAGTGATACAAAGTGCGAACGCTTATGATCCAGAACTTCTTTAAAAGGTCTGATATATGAGGCTGAAATAGAATATTGCCTATGGTCCTTACCGTTTTCTTTTGCAACGGGTGTACCCTTTCAAAAGTCGTTGAAGTTGGTGCGCCCCAAACTGAATGACCGTAATTTAGGTTAGAATAGAACACGAAATTATAAACCATTCTTTCATGTTCATCGCTAAAGTATTACAATGACGGTATAACATTGCCACAACTTCTGAAAATTTGTGTATAATGGGGCTTATGCGATAATACCATGACATATATAAAAATTACGTCTAGAATTTTTAAGTTTACAAAGTATTCTTTTCTGAATTTATGCTCAGGCCTTTCGTAACGGTGACTACTTCATTTTCGGGAGGATTGAACACATATTTTTTATTATCTATTTGAAGTAAATTAAATCTACTCCACCATTTCAACCAAGAAAGCGTCAGGTTTGCTTTGTCAAATAACAAATCAGCACTTTCAACATAGAAAATATACTTTTGTAATGAGCATAATCTACGAATTCGGCATCTGAATTAACAAAAATATTATGATTTACGTGTGCATATATTGAAGTCGCTCTTGTCCCCCTGTCACTAAACACTCGTACAAAAGCGTCCTTCCGCTCTCTCCCGCCCGTGGCTTCAACAGCAGTGCGCTCAACTAGTAAGATCGAGTGATGTCACGTGTCTCCCTCCGACGCGCTGACTGGCTCACTGGGACCGTAGCGTTCGCCGTTTGCCATGTCACGGTGAGACGAAGTATAGAATCCCTCCCCAGAGTTACGCTTATTAGAGTAACGTAGTCGTTTTGAGTCACGTCGTGACTATCTAGGCAGCGCCTCCTTGGAAGATACGCCGAGAGAGTGGTGAGGTGCTAGAGACGGGTCCCTATCAAAACGCCGAAAAATAAGAGGCTGACTTATAAAGAGGCCGAACGTCAGAACGCCGAAAAATTGAAATGCAGAAAAAGTTGAAATGCCGAAAAATCTAAATGCGGAAAAGTCATAACGCCGACAACTACAAAAGGCGAAATCGAATGACGAGCTTTGTCATTTCCATTTGTTCGTTTTACGCCGAAGCACTTCCCATTGACACGAGCCTTTTTAGCTCGATCTACAAGGACACCAGTATCAATGTAGATTAAACAGATGTAAAATTTTGTATTTTGCTATTTGTCGTAAAGCTAGGCCCAGCAGTCAGAGAGGACAGCTCTTATTTGTCAGCAGAAAAAAGCAGCGCTGCCCAGTGTTTAGATTACAAGAGAAGCAGCAATCAGCAGCAGTAATCATTTCACTGATTCGGAGGGACATGGACGAAGACGTAATTATGTGTTCCCAAAAGGCAAAAGCGAAAGGCAGTTTCGAAGACAGTTATGTCTACGTACTTGACCAGAAAATGGGTTCTAGACACTATTGGAGATGCGAAAAGCAAGGCGAAAGCGTCGCAAGAATCATTATCGACTTTCCTGTAGAAAGTATTCACATGATCATTCCGAAACCCACGCAAGTCATGCTCCGGATATGTGCAAGGTTAACGTTTTTTTGTACTCGAGGGCGGATCAAAGCTCTGGCGGCGGCCTCGCGTGAGGCAACCGTGAACCTATTGCAGCAAGTCACGGCTGATGTAGCAGCGTCTTCAAAGCAACACTTTCCACGCAATGAAGCTTTGCGCCAGATTGTGAAAAGAAAGAGGAAAGCGTACTGCCCACACGAGCCGTCTTCTGTGCAGGCGCTCATCATCGAGGACGGGTTCAGAACAGCGTTAGATTTGCAACAGAAAGAATAGACGCTTTTCAGTTAATTTGAGCTTTAGATTGCCGGGAGTTCCTACGGTGCGACTACACCAGGGCCGATGGAGCTCGGCTTTTAATTTTTTTTCGCGGAAAAAATCTTTAAGAATTTGAACGACACTCCGAAGTGGCTCGTGGAAGAAAAATTTATTCGCCGCTCTTCGAGCAGTTATACATAATTCAGGTTATCTTTGTGACCATGTGTTCCTTTTAGTTTACTGCCTCATGACTCGACGAACCCAGATTTTATACAAGGCACTTCGAAGTGTTAAACTTTGCCGCAGACCTTGTACTTGACTAAATCCGAAAACCGTTAATACAGACTTTGAATTGGCAGAAATTAACGTTATTCGGCCGTTGTTCCTGTCGTCAAATGTGCATAGTTCTCTGTTCCACTTGTGCCAGTCAGTATGGAGGAGAGTGCAGCACCTTGGAGTGTCAGTTCTCTACAAAAATGATATAAATTGGTAGATGA